TTCACTTTGCCTCTGGGCATCGTCATGGACAAATATGGCCCCCGGAAGCTGCGGCTGCTGGGCAGGTGAGTCCTGGGAACTGGGCTTTTGCTGGGCATGGGGCGGAAGTGGGCGCACGGCACTTTGGATGGGTGCAGCCCAGCAGCAGGTGGTACAGAAGCAGGCAAGCCATCTCTGATAAGCACGAGGTTGCGAGTTCGGGCATTAGTCCCTGCATCAGCTATCTCCCCGCCAGTTATATGGCCTGTCTGCAGAGTTTTCTCCCTAGCTTGCAGATGCCGTGGGGGCAAAGTACACAAATTGAACTCTTTGGAGTGCCAGAGGAGAGGGGGGGTAGGAGTTTCCCGCTCTTCACGGCTGAAAAACAAAAAGCAAAACTGCTAGGGTTGCTAGCTGGCCAAGAAAAAAAGCAGCCTGGCCCTTTTTTGTGCCTTGACTATTAGGGGCTGAGTTTTAGTTCTGAGTCTGGAAAAGCTTTGATTCCCGCAGAACAAGCAGCTCCTAAAAGCCCAGGAGCAAAGGATAGCCCAGTTGGTGGTGGAAGGTGCTGTCAAGCTGCGGCCGACTTAGGCTGACCTCGTAGGATTTTCAAGGCAAGAGATCTTCAGAGGCGTTTTGCCACTGCCTGCCACTGTATAGCAACCCTGGACTTCCTTGGTGGTCTCCCACCAAGGTACTAACCAGGGCTGATCCTGATGAGCTTTCGAGACCTGAGAATATTGGAATAGCCTGGGCTATCTAGGTCAGGTAAAAGGTAAAGGTTCCCTTGCTCGAAAGCCAGTTGAATCCGACTCTAGGGTTGCGGTGCTCATCTCCATTTCCAAGCCGAAGAGCCAGCGCTGTCCGAAGACATTTCCATGGTCATGTGGCCGGCATGACTAAACACCAAGGCACACGGAACGCTGTTACCTTCCCACCTAAGTGGTACCTATTTATCTACTTGCAATGTCTTGCTTTCGAACTGCTGGGTTGGCAGGAGCTGGAACTAGAGACGGGAGCTCACTCCGTCATGCGGCACACTTGGGTCTCGAACTGCTGAACTACCGACCTTCCACAGCCTGCAGTTCAGCGTCTTAACCACTTGAGCCACCGCAGCTCCCTTCTAGGTCAGGGCATAGCCCTATTTGTGGTGGGAAGTGTCATCAAGTGGCAACCGACTTACGGTGACCCTGTAGGGTTTTCAAGGCAAGGGTTGAACAGAGGTAGTTGATCACTGCCTGCCTCTAAGTTGCAATCTTGAACACATGAAGCTGCCTTCTACTGAATCAGACCCTTGGTCCATCAAGGTCCGTGTTGTCTACACGGACTGGCAGCGGCTCTCCAGGGTCTCAGGCAGAGGTCTTTCACATCACCTACGGCCAGATCTTTTAACTGGAGATACTAGGGATTGAACCTGGAACCTTCTGCATGCCAAGCGGATGCTCTGCCAATGAGCCACAGCCCCTCCCAACCTTGAACTTCCTTGGTGGTCTCCCGTCCAAGTAATAGGTTGACCCTTCTTAGCTTTGAAGATCTGATGAGATCAGGCTAGCCTGGGCCATCCAGGACAAGGCAGGTTTCAACCCCAAATTATGTCTGCCAGTAGGGGAGGGCGGCACCTTATCGTGGGTGCTGAGACCCCAGTCCTTCCCAGAGCTGCTGTTGTCCTCTATGGAGTTCTGAACACTACCAGAGTTGAACTACTGATGTTATGGTTGGATGCATCTCACAAGCATCCAGCACTGGGTTGAGCCAGACAACTGCCAACAGTTCCCTCTAATTCCCCCCCCCCTACTGAGAATATAACCGCTGTAATCTTAAAAAGGGCAATGGGCAGTGCAAGACCCTGTGCAACTCCAGATTGCTGCTGAGCGGGGCTTCCTGTGTCAATGAGCGGCCGCTCATGCGCACAGCTTAGAGGGAACAGTGCAACTGACCCCAACGGGGTGGCGTGAAATGCAGAGCCCAGCAAACAAACTGAAGTATGCAGAGAAGGATGGGGAGTGCAGGAGGGGGTGTGTGACTCTTGCAGTCGGATCACGGTGTGGGAGAGTGCAGCCTTTTCGTTTGCCTTGGCTGGGCTGGAGTTTCGAGAACCGGGATGCCACACCTGTAGGTTACACTGTGGAGTTTGGCACGAACTTCTGCCTCTTGGTGATTTAACCTTCAAGGCAAAATGGGCATGCTTCTAAGAAACAGGGCCAAGGAAGTCTTCCCTGCTAGCGACTGTGGCACGTTCACACACACACACCCCTTCATGGATGGCTTGACCAGTTGGACAGTGGTGGGAGAGGGGCAGGGAGGGGTAGAAGCCCCTCTGTCGTCTTCACTGCATCTTCAGTTGATGATGAAATAGATGGGGGATGTTTCAGAGATGGGCTCGGTGGAAAGCAAGCAGTGCTGCCCTCGCTTTCTGTACATGTGGGATGTGCTTAGTGTGTGTCCCCTCCCCCCCAAAAGGAGAGACCATGGTGTAACTGTACTTAGGTACATGTAGGGCTATTTTTGAGCAGGAACGCACAGGAACGGAGTTCCGGCTGGCTCCTGAGTTGGCCACGCCCAGCAGGAACTCATTAGCATAATAGGCCACACCCAACGGCAGGAACTCATTAGGATTGGCTACATTAGGGGGGTGTGGCCTAACATGCAAAGACGTTCCTGCTACAAAAAAAGCTCTGGGCTTTGACAACAAACAAGGTAAACAGAATAAGAAGCAAAAGGTGGGTGTGGCTGGATGACCACACTTCTGGCAATGTGTGGGTGTGGCCTAATATGCTAATGAGTGGTGCTGTCAGGGGTGTGGCCTAATATGCTAATGAGTTCCTGCTATTGGGTGTGGCCTATTATGCTAATGAGTTCCTGCTGGGCTTTTTCTACAAAGAAAAGCCCTGGGTACATGGTACCTTCATGTGACGGTTGGCCCTTGCTGTGTTTCAGCGCCTCTTTCGCCGTATCTTGTGTGATGATTGCTTATGGTGCCAGCAACCCTGACTGTAAGTATGCGGCTGCGAACTGGGAGATGGTTCAAGGGGAGAGCTGAGGGCTGGGGGGGGGACGTGGGCCCTTGGCTAGTGGTTCCAGGCCTCATCCCACCTGTGGGCTGCCTCTTCCGTAGCCTCCTCCCTGTGCCAACAGAAGCCAAACTTTGCAAAACCGGGAGGGCCATCTAAATGATCAAAGGGGACCATGGTTTGGGGAGGTGGCGGCCTTATTTGGAGTAGCACTGGGTGGGGGGAGCCACGGCTTGGCATGAGAGCGCTTTGCTGCCAGAGCCGAGGGTCTTGTGCAGTGTTGCCTCTAAGTTGAGTGAGCTAGCTCACAGTTTTTTAGCCTCCAGCTCACACATTTTTGTCTTGGCTCAGGAAGGATGACTCTAGAGCCAACTAATTTATGCAGTAGCCAAATCGCTCGCTCCCAACTTTCATGCCAGTAGCTCACAAAGTAGAATTTTTGCTCACAAGACTCCACAGCTTAGAGGGAGCATTGGTCTTGTGTGACACTGAAATACACCTCTAGCCTGGGTAGCCGAGTGTGGGCACCACCTGGCAGTGTCCCTTCAAGGCCTCTGCTGGTTCTGCATCTGGAGACCTGTTTTACCTGGAGCTGCTGGGGAAGGAGCCTTTGTCCTTCTCCGGGCAAAGCCAGGCTGGTGCTCTGCCACAGCGTGGCTCTCCGGAGCCCTTTCCCTAGTGCTCACGGGTCAAGAGCAATGTTCCCTCTAAGCTGTGGAGTCTTGTGAGCAAAAATTCTACTTTGTGAGCTACTGGGCATTCAAGTTGTGAGTGAGCAGTTTGGATAATTAGTTTGCTCTGGAGCCATCCTTCCTGAGCGAGGACAAAAATGTGTGAGCCAGAGGCTAAAAAACTGTGAGCTAGCTCACACAAATTCAGCTTAGAGGGAACACGGGTCAAAAGCTGGCCCGGCCGCACAGAGCGCTGTTCCCAGGGCGACACTCTCAACAGCCTGAGCGCAGCAGGCTCCCAGCCTGTTGGCCCCTCTCTGGCCTGCATTCCACAGTGCCATGGTCTCCGGTTTCTCCATGCTCTGGCTCCCAGGAGACCCAAGCGATGCCGGTGCGGCCTTGGGGGGGGGGGAGCTTCTCGGCTCCTCACGGTTTTTCTCCTTCCTCTGCAGCTCTGTCCGTGCTGATCTTCTTCGCGCTGGCGCTGAATGGCTTTGGGGGGATGTGCATGACCTTTACGTCGCTCACGGTGAGTGCTCTTACTTCTGTCTTTTAGCCGGCCCCGGGCACCTGGCCCATTGCCGGCCTCTATGTCTCATACGGCTTGAACTGTCAGGGTCCTTGCCCCGAGGAATCCTGGGAACTGTAGTTTGGCGATACTGAGGCTTCCGTGTGATGGGAGCGTGCCGGCTGCTCCCCTCCAGGTCTTCTTTATGGTATTGGGGCTGGGGGCTGTCAGCCTATATGTCTCACACTGCTTGAACTGTCAGGGTCCTTCCCCCGAGGAATCCTGGGAACTGTAGTTTGGTGGCGATACTGAGGCTTCTGTATGATGGGAGCGTGCTGGCTGTTTCCCCCCAGGGTTTTCTTTATAGTATTGGGGCTGGGGGTGCTGAGGACAGTGTCCTCTGCTGCCTGGTCCTTCCCTTTCCTCTTCCTCACCCCCCAGTATCGTAAGAGTGCCTTGGGGGAGGAAGTAACCACGGCTCTCCCCATCCTGTCGTCTGCATGTAGCCAAGACACTCCAGCCCCCATGAGGAGAGCAGTAATCTGGGCTTTAAAAGCAAGGAGACCAGGCCCACACTGTCTCGGGATGAAACAGAACGAATTTAGAGTCCAGTGGCACCTTTAAGGCCAACAAAGGTTTATTCAAGGTATGAGCTTTCGTGTGCAAGCACACGAAAGCTCATACCTTGAATAAACCTTTGTTGGTCTTAAAGGTGCCACTGGACTCTAAATTCATTCTCCCGCTTCAGACCAAACACGGCTGGCCACCTGGACTATCTTCAGGATGGAGCCGTGAACCAAAAGGAAGTTGGCGCAGGTGGAGGCGGGTGAGGCCTGCGCTTGCTGCGGAGGGGAGAGAGAGAGTGCTGTTAAGGACAGCCTAAGTTATGTGCAGCCTGTGTGAGTCAGTTGTGCTTTGTGTTGTGCTGCCGAGCTTGTTTTGAACTCGCTCTGGATGGGGCACGTGTCTTTTTTGGCTGTACGGGTGCTGTTGGATGGCCTGTAGGCCATATGTTGTTGACAAACCTTTCTATGTAAGTCGCCCTGGGCCTGCCTTGGCAGAGAAGGCAGGATATAAATTAAATAAGTGATGACATTCCCTATAAATCATATGCATTTGGGGCTGGTTTGCCATTTTGGGTATGCAGGAGTCTGTATCAAACACAGAGGGTTGCTTCCTTTTACACCCTGGTTGAAATGGGTGCAGACCGTTTGCTTGCTGCATTTTTCAGCAGTGTGCTTTATGGTAGCTTTCTGCCAGTCCTGCAGTGCCAAGAGTCGGCAAGGGTACACACTGCTGTCCAAAGTGGTTAGTTGTTGCTTTTTGTCAAAAGGGCACGGGGGGAGTTCGGTCCAAAGGACTGGCATGAATTAAGGGCTTAGATCAGGCATCTTGTTCTGTCGAGCATAGTTGCCTTGCCGTCTCCTGCAACCTCAGGTTGTCTGAGCATGGAGGGCAGTTAACCCTTCAGCCTCCACTCAGTTTTGCTATTCAAAACAAGCTCCCTCATTTGCTTTCGAAAGAGGAATGTGGGGAAGTGGGGAGAGCCACTTCCAGGTAGCAAAGAACCAGTGGAGGCTGAAGGGTTAACTCTTCCTTGCGGGACCTGAGGCAAATTGAGGCATGTAGAGGTCTGCAACTTTCCTTTTTGTGCGTGGAACAAAGCATCTGTTTGAGCACTAAGAAAAGTGCTGTGGTGTTTGCACAGGGCTCAGTTTTATGCCCTGGGCCTTCCAGACAGGATTTTTTTAAGTAAACAGCTTTTTTTGTCGAAGCACAGAAGTGTCTTGGATTGTGTCCGTTTTCCTGCAGTGCAGATGGCCATGTTTATATCTCGGGGGGGGGGATCAAAAGGCTTTATCCACTCGGCGTAGCTTGTGGTCAGACGGAGGGCAAGCATCCTTGCTAGACCTGGGTGGCGTATTTGTCTGACCAGCTGGCAGAGCTATGGAAGCTTACCTTCTGCTGCAGAGGCAGGCGGGGGAGGGCTTGCTGGGGCATCAAGGTGGTGGGGAAGAGTTCATTTCATTCTCAAGCAGGAGGGGGGGCCCATTGTCACTGGAGACCAGTGGAGTGAACATCCACCAAGTGCAAAGGCAGGCCTGTGCCTCAGCTGCAGAGCAAGCGGAGGAGGGGAGGACAGGAAGGGGCAGCCCCTGTTGCAGCTCCTGCTTTGGGGAGGACAAGCCCCAGCCCCCCCCCCCCCCGCGATATAGAGGCCTGAGCAACAAAGGCAGTCCCTTATTTGGGAAAGGAGACAGGGCGCCTGACTTCGTGCCCAATGGCTTTGTGCCCAAAGGAGCGAGCGCAAGGCAGTCTCGTGCAGCTGAATTCTTCCTTGGCAGCAGCGCGGAGCATTGGGGGCGGGGGCGCTTGTTTGGCGTGGCTTGTCCTGCTGCGCCCCTCCCTGCTGCTTCTCTCGGAGGGGGAAAGAGAACAAAGTTGAACAGCTGCTTTTTTTTTTAACTCTCGTGCGCATGGATTTCAGAGGAGAGACTTTGAGGAAAAGAGCACACCGTTTTAAGGAGCCACTAAAAGCCACTAAAAGGAGCTGCGGTGGCTCAAGTGGTTAAGACACTGAACTGCAGGCTGTGGAAGGTCGGTAGTTCAGCAGTTCGAGACCCGAGTTGCTGCATGACGGAGTGAGCTCCCGTCTCTAGTTCCAGCTCCTGCCAACCTAGCAGTTCGAAAGCAAGAAATTGCAAGCAGATAAATAGGTACCACTTCGGTGGGAAGGGAACAGCGTTCCGTGCGCCGTGGTGTTTAGTCATGCCGGCCACATGACCACGGAAACGTCTTCGGACAGCACTGGCTCTTCGGCTTTGAAACGGAGATGAGCACCGCAACCCTAGAGTCGGACTCGACTGGCTTTTGAGCAAGGGAACCTTTACCTTTTTAAAAGTTGCAGAGGTCGGCGACGTGGTGGTCTGTGGTCTGACAAAGAGGCGAGAGGGCTCACTCGGGGAAGGCGTTTGCTGCTGCTTCCCTCCGAGGCTTGCACACTCCTAATGACTGTGGTGCCCTGAGCTCTCACGGGAACGAAGGTCCTGGTTTTGGATGCTGAACTAGAGAAGGACTGGACTGGGTGCATCCAGTGATTAAGAGTGATGAACACATGGAATTCACTGCCACAGGAGGTGGGGGCGGCTACAAGCATGGACGGTTTCAAGAGGGAATTAGATAAGCATATGGAGCAGAGGTCCATCAGTGGCTATTAAGCCACAAGGTACAGATAGGGACTCTGGGGCAAGTGATGCTCTGTCTTCTTGGTGCTTGGGGGGGGGGGTCAACAGCAATGTTCCCTCTAAGCTGCGGAGTCTTGTGAGCAAAAATTCTACTTTGTGAGCTCCTGGCATTAAAACTGTGAGCAGGTGATCTGGCTGCAGCATAAATTAGTTTGCTCTGGAGCCCTCCTTCCTGAGCGAAGAGAAAAATCTGTGAGCTGGAGGCTAAAAATCTGTGAGCTGGCTCACACTAACTCAGCTTAGAGGGAACACTGGTCAACAGTGGGAGGCTTTCTAGTGTCCTGGCCCCACTGCTGGACCTCCTGACGGCACCTGGTATTTCTGGCCACTGTGTGACACAGAGTGTTGTCCTGGATGGGCCATTGGCCTGATCCCACATTGGCTCCTCTTATGTTCTTATATCCCGGTTGCCTGCCTTTGGACTTGGTGAGCATACGCAGCTGCTGTCTGCCAAGTCAGCCCTCCTCTCTTCAAAGTCATGCTTTTCTCCTTTGACTGGCAGCCAGTCTCCAGAGTCTCAGCGGGAGGTCTTTCTCACCACCTGTCACCTGACCTCTTTTAAAGCAGGAGGGGGGATCAAACCTGGGACCTTCTGCATGTTTGCCTCTGAGCCCTGGACCCTCCTCTTGACCAGGGTGTGTGTGTGTTCTTGGACTGCTGCAGTTCTTTTTGTGGAGCACTCTGGGAAGTAGCAGCTGTACGGGGTGGGGTGGGGTGGAGCGCTTACTGGCCTCCTGACCAGAAAGGAAAGGGCTTCCTTGTGAACTTGCAGCTGGTGGGCCACCACCAAAAAGGCCCTTTTGGCCAGGGCTACATGGGAAACAGAAGATCTGTGGGGTGAGGGGCTGTGGCTCGGTGGAAGAAGCTCTGCTTGCCACGCGGAAGGTCCCAGGTTCAATCCTCAGCATCATCAGTTAAAAGATTTCAGGTCATGGGGGAAGTGAAGGACCTCTCCTGGAAACGTCGGAGGGCAGCTGTCAGTCAGAGGAGGCCATGCCGACCTTGCTCTATCAAAGGTCTGACTCAGCAGTGCTCTATCAAAGGCCTGACTCAGCAGAAGGCAACCTCGTGTGGTCTGTCACGGCTCTGGAAAGTATGATGTCATTGGGGCCATAATAAAAGAAGAAGAAGAAGAGAAGAGATTGGATTTATACCCCGCCCTTCACTTGGAGTCTCAGAGCGGCTTACAAACTCCCTTCCCTTCCCCTCCCCACAACAGACACCCTGTGAGGTGGGTGGGGCTGAGAGAACTCTGACACAAACTGCTCTTTTTCGAGGACAGCTCTTGTCAGAACTATGGCTTGCCCAAGGTCACATCAGCAGGTGCAAGTGGAGGAGTGGGGGAATCAAACCCGGTTCTCCCAGATTAGAGTCCGCGCACGTAACCCCTACACCAAACTCCTCCGAAGGCCTGACCCTTGAAACTGTGACATCCTAGCAGAGTCCTTTGAAGTCAAGGCAAAGAATTTACCAGCCCGTGGCAGTCTGGCTTGCGTGGCAAAACGTGCATCCCCGATACCTCTCATCTGAGCAGTCGGTCTCGACTCTGTGTGTGTTTTGTGCCCCAGGTGCAGGTACTAGAGGTGGGTCCAAGACCCGGGGGGTGGGGGAGGGTGTCACTGCAGTGCAGGCTCTGCTGCGGCTCCCCTCCCTCCGTTGCAGCGTCTCTGCAAGCAGTGCAACCAGTTGCTCTGAGGTTGTCTGAGGACAGGGCTGCTGCATTCCATCTGAAGTTCTCCAGCCAGAGAGGAGTGGCGTGGAGTGACGTCAGAGCAAAAGGTGCTGCAGGTGTTCTGGCTGCTGTTCTCTGGAGCACATGGAAAAGGCAGATGGACTCTAAAGCAGCAGAGAAACTGGACACCGCCTGTGGCTATGTTCTCTCCCTCTTTTCCCTGTCCCGGGCAATTCTCTGGTGCCGGCATTTCCCTTTTGTGCAGCCAGCCCTGAGTCAGCCAGTAAAAACACAATTTCTGAAATCCTGGAAGGAAGGCAATGATATCACCTCTTGCGCCACCTCTGGCCCATGGGAAGCAGCTGGAATCTGCCTCTGCCGGTGGCTGTCTTATCTGACTTTCCCCGGCACGAGGTGGTTCAGCGAAAGGATTTGTGTATGCAGGGCACGTTTTGAATGGTGACTCACTTTCTTTTGGTTTTTGAACTTGCTGCGGCTTACGCTGAGATTAAACGGGTGCATCCAAACTCTGTTTTTGCAATGATGGTCCTGTCTCCTCCGTACCCCCTGAAGTCTTGGGCTTCTCCCGGGGAAATGTTATCTCTACAGCCCTTGGGGAATAGATGGGGCAATGATGCTCTGTATTCTGTGTGCTTGGGGGGGGGGGCAACAGTGGGAGGGCTTCTGGAGTTCTGCCCCTGTTGGTGGACCTCCTGATGGCACCTGAGTTTTGGCCACTGGCCTGGTCCTACATGGCTGCTCTTATGCTCTTAATTTTAACGACTGCTTCTGAATCTGCCTTAACATAGGTCGCTTCCATGCAGAACCTTTGCTCTGTATTCCCCCCCACCAACTGCAGCCACTGGTGGGGCAGGGCTTCCACTTGATAGCATCATGAAGTCTTCTATTGTCTAGGCTTTCCCCTGCTTCACTGCCTGTTTTCCCATATCTCTTTCTGTACAATCTTTCCTGAAAGGTTATCTTCAAAGTGGGGCTTGGGATCTGTGTGGATGTATTTCTGCACCAGCACCCTTTCCCCCTTTACCTACCGGCTGTTCTTTCAATTCTTATGGTAGGAAGGGGGAAATGGTGACTTTCCTTGCTGCATAGCTCCCTTAGACCAAGACTGGATAGGGAATCTATCTCTAGAAGATATATTCCCTTTCCTTTGGCCTGAATGGGAGCCTTCTCTACTACCCAAGTTGTTCTCCAGTTCTCTGTCTGTGTTCAAACTGCTCTTAGCTAATGCTGAATTCAGACTGTGTTCAGTCAAGGCTGAAATCTGACTCTGTCGGCACTAAACCCTTTTTCTGCCAGGGCTATTCTCAGATGGTCTCAGTACCCGTCTCTTCTCAGTTAAGGCAGGAATCTGACTGAATGTCCTCAGCATATAGCTCTCACAAGACTGGAGCAGCCTGTCACTCAAGGCCCTCTGTTTCTGCGAAGAATTAAACCATCACAGCACTTTATCTGTTTACACAGCACTTCCAAGCTTTTAAAAGTGCAGTCTCATCACGAGGGGCATGCGAGACCCATGCTGAGCCACTCTCTCAAGGTTCTGTGGCAAAGGAGGTGTGCCATTTGGGTGCTCTGGCAGCCCAGCTGATCAGCTAGACCCATTGATTCAGACCCATTGAGTCTGGAGGATGCTTCACTCACATGGTGTGAGCTCCTCCTGTTTTTGCCTTGCGAGATTTTGTATGTCTCTCGGTTCCCAGTCTCTGGGAAGCTGTTGCCTCTGGCTCAAGCACTGAAAGTGACCTGAGCGAGGGCCTGCTTTCCAGACAGAAACATGTTTCTTTTGTCCTGGAGCCATTCCTGGTCTGAGCTGGGTTGAGGCGGAAGCCGTTGCCCAGAGATGCAAGTGGGAAGGAGACACGTCTGGGCCTCCAGAAGCAGCCGCCCCCCTTGAAACTCTCTGGGAAAGCAAACAGTCTGCTTTCAGACTTGAACAGTGTGCCTCCAGACCGCAGCTGTTCTAGAGCACGTACTGGTGAGCGGGGGCACCTGCATCACCACCCACCTCCGTGCACACGCCTCCCTCTTGCTCCCAAACAAGCAGGACCCTTTTCTCTTTCCACAGCCCGCTTCTAACCACTCTCTCGATCCTTTGTTCCTTCTCAGCTGCCCAACATGTTCGGCGACCTTCGCTCCACCTTCATCGCTCTCATGATTGGCTCTTACGCTTCTTCGGCGGTTACTTTCCCCGGAATCAAGGTAGGTGGGATGGAACGTTATACGCTCTGTGCCACTGCTTTTGCTTGGAAGAGCATGGAAGGGGGCTTGGCGAAGACGTGTGATTTCCGTGGGGGAAGTCAGAGCGGCCTTGCTGCTCTCTGTAGCGCCAAGTAACGAATAAACGCACACTGCAAGAAACTATTGTAAATGAACGTGTTCTGTTTATCATTCGGTAAAGTACATAACGTGCTATTATAACATCCTTGTCAGGTACATATGTGCAGTACTTTCAGTTTAACAATAACATTCAGATTATTCAGTTTTAACAACTGCCAGTCAGTTTTGCATCTGTATTTTAAAAGACAAGCTCTCTGTAGCTCCAGCAGCCAGGGGGGTCATTGCAGGATAGGTGGGACTGGATGGGTTTCTAGTCAGTCCAGCTTCACCGTGGTGCCGAAAAGTGCCCTAAAACACAGTACAAATCAGGCTTCTCTTTATTTAGGAGCAGGTGCTTAGCTGAGAAAATGAGCTGCGGCCATTATTTGTCACTTTCCTGCCCCCCCCCTTGCATGCTTGGTTGATTTCCTTTCTTAATGGCCTGGCTGGAAAGACAAAGGCAATTTAATGTGGGGTGAAAAGTTAGAATCCACTCCCAACTTGGAACATGCAGACGTACTAAACCCAGAGATTAGATTTATTAACATACATTACGAACGTAAGATGACAATCAAAGAAAGAAAAAGCACCAATTTTTTTTCTACTCGGCCTTAATGGATAAGCAGCTCTTCACGAGTACCAGGCTATATCATTTCCAGCCTATAACCTCTGTGTTTTGCATGGGAGTGTTCTTTAGAGAGAATCCAGGCTGCTAGCAGGTCCCTGTTATCCTTGCTGCCCCCCTGCCTTTCCCAGACCTGTTTTGAGGAGATATTTGTGACCATAGTGCTGCAATTGTGCCACTGTCATGACCGGCAAGGGGCATGGTTGGGATGATGCTATGCCCGCCCACCCACCCCTTTTCTGGCTGCACTGTCACTTTAAAATGTCCTGCAAAATGGTCCCTTCCACACTTCATTTTTGAAATCGCCTGAGGCTGCAAAGAAGGAACAAGATCGGGAAGTGCTGGAAGAGACCGTAGAGTCCAGTTGCACTGACTGGGACTTGCTTGTGTGACAAACACGCTTAAGGTCTTACTATGCGGGTTTTATGGGGTTTCAGCACTCCATTGTGGGGAAGTAATACAGCTGTATCTCCTCAGAGATTTGTTGCCTACTTTTTGCGTAGTTGTTAAATAATGGGTTCCATGGATGAACAGACCACAAGCCTAGTGATCAGTTCTACTTTATTGGTGTTTTCAGCAAGACAAGACTCCAGAGTCTCAGCTTTGTTAAATAGTATGCAGTTGCCACACCCAAACACACCCCACTCCTAGTGACAGGCTATTTACATAACATTACTACTAGATTTGGAGCTGTGGTAGCTCAAGTGGTTAAGACGCTGAACTGCAGGCTGTGGAAGATCAATAGTTCAGCAGTTCGAGACCCGGGTGCCGCATGACGGAGTGAGCTCCCGTCTCTAGTTCCAGCTCCTGCCAACCTAGCAGTTCGAAAGCAAGAAATTGCAAGTACCGTATTTTCCGGCGTATAAGACGACTGGGCGTATAAGACGACCCCCAACTTTTCAGTTAAAATAGAGAGTTTTCCAGTTAAAATATAGAGCTGTGCTGATGCTTCTGGCGTACCGGCGTATAAGACGACCCCCCACTTCTGAGAAGATTTCCCTGGGTTAAAAAGTAGTCTTATACGCAGGAAAATACGGTAGATAAATCGGTACCGCTTCGGTGGGAAAGTAACAGCGTTCCGTGTGCCTTGGTGTTTAGTCATGCCGGCCACATGACCACGGAAACGTCTTCGGACAGCGCTGGCTCTTTGGCTTTGAAACGGAGATGAGCACCGCAACCCTAGAGTTGGATTCGACTGGCTTTCGAGCAAGGGAACCTTTACCTTTACTACTAGATTGGTTACTTTCAGAATCCTGGCAGGCTATTGTTCTTGTGCCTCAAGCTCAGCCTGTCTCTGGGGTGATTCAATCAGGAATGATTCAATCCCAATACATAACAGTAGTATAGGCAAACTGCACAAGGCTTTTCTTGTTTCTTGGATTTGCTTAACGCTTGTAACGCTTAGATATATGGTTGTGTTGTTCGTTTTGCTATGAAAACTGTTCAAAATAAAAAATAATTTAAAAAGAGTGGCGCCAGGGCTGTCCCTGGCCACCTCTTAGTCTCCTAGCCACCAAGCAGTGGCTTGAACCACTGTAAAGAATTCTAGCCAGGGAGGGTGATATGCAACCCCTCTGCCACTCTTGTCCATGCTTTGCAGGGAGGGCGGGGTATAAATTTGATAATAAATAAATGCTCTAAACAAAATACATCTTGCAGGTCATTTTTAACAATATAGGACGGGAGATTGTGTGTATGTGTGTACACACCAGTCACTGATTCCTTTGTCCTGCCCTGGATCCTGCAGGGTCCTAAAATAGTTATGAATATGATGAGACGTTTGCTCACAGCCTGCCTCTCTGAACGTGGACTGATCAGTGCCAGGTTGAAGAGGGTGATGCAACCACCAACGGCGCTACGTCAGCTAAAGTAGCCATCCAAGAACTGGCGGAGGTGGCAGTCCCGGATTGTTTGTGTAAGAGTTGCCGCGCCCTGCTTGGGAAAGTGCGAACCGTTGGAAGGGCCCCAAAGGAATCCACCGAGATCAGCATTCCGGTGCCAGCAGCAGCCTGCCAGGTGCCCGCAGGCAGGGCATGAAGGCCCCAGCCCTTTCTCTCGATCACCCACAGCACCTGGCATCCGTGCACTGCCTCTGAACAATGAGGTTCTCTTCTGGTGGGCTTGCTTCTTTTTTTAAAGCCATGGAAGTCCACGGCCACTCCAGTCTGTGGAATTCACTGCCACAAGATACAAAGCCATGGGATCTCTTCCCTTCCTAGCATCCTGTGCGAATGTGCATTTCTCTGGAATATTCAATAGGTTTGTTTTAAAAATGACAGTTGACAAGGGTAGGAGGTGAAGAGTTTGTTGGCTGACGAAATCGACTCTGCCAAATGCTAGTACTTAAGCGTGTCGGACTAGTATCTGGGAGACCCAGGTTCGAATCCCCGCTTGTGCTGTGGATGCTCGCTGGGTGTCGTTGGGCCAGTCACACGCCCTCTCAGCCTAACCTACTTCACGGGGTTGTTGTGAGGATAAAACAGAGGAAAGGGGAACGTTGTAAGCTGTTTTGAGTCCCCGTTGGGGGGGGGGGGAGGCAGGATATAAATGAATTAAAGAAATAAATAGGCAGAGCCTTTTTCTCTGGCTGGAAAGTCTAATCCAGTTGCAGACAGGCAGGCCCTAAGACCTGTTCTCCCCTCTGCAGTGGAGCGCCCAAGTGGCATCTTTTGAACCTTGGGCTCCAATGCCTAAGCCGGTTTGCCTTTTCCGGGCGCCCTTTTGAAAACTGGCTGGTAACGGGCGGTCTCTCTTCTTGCTTCCCAGGTGATCTATGACTTTGGGGTCTCCTTCATCCTCATCCTGCTGGTCTGGGCCTGCTGTGCGGGTCTGGTCTTCTTCAACTGCTTCTTCAACTGGCCGCTTGAGCCGTTCCCAGGCCCGGAAGACATGGACTACACGTGAGTCCCCTGGGAGCAAAGGGTCCCTGGAGTGGGATTCTCTCTGAGGGATGCTGCACTGGGGGAGGGGGGAGCTCCTCATGCACAAGGCTTCCGAGCATAACCATTGGTGGGACCCACGAGGTGCAATTCTTCTTGGAATGTCTTCTGCGCAAGTCCTACGGAAATGAACAGGAGCACGGTCTGGCTCTCGCAAAGCTTTGCTTCTGTCCAAGACGGTTTTAGGTTTTGGAGGACCCTAGGCAGGCAATGCTCAGGGGTCCCCTCTCCTCCTTTGACCACCACCGGGACCCCTGTTTGTGCCTTCCATCGAGCCCACCCGCCTCCACCAGTTTGGTGGAGTGGTTAAGTGCGCGGACTCTAATCTGGGAGAGCCGGGTTTGATTCCCCACTCCTCCACTTGTATCTGCTGGATGACCTTGGGCAAGCCGTAGTTCTGATAAGAGCTGTTCTTGAAAAAGAGCCGTCTCTGTCAGAGCTCTCTCGGCCCCACCCACCTCACAGGGTGTCTGTTGTGGGGAGGGGAAGGGAAAGGAGTTTGTGAGCCGCTCTGAGCCTCCTTTGGGTAGTGAAGGGCAGGATATATAAATCCAATCTCTTCTTCTCTCTCAGCCCCACCTACCTCACAGGGTGTCTGTTGTGGGGAGGGGAAGGGAAAGGAGTTTGTGAGCCGCTCTGAGCCTCCTTTGGGTAGTGAAGGGCAGGATATATAAATCCAATCTCTTCTTCTTTTTCTTCTTCCCCTCCCCCTGTGTGTTCTTCCTTCCTCCGCCTGTTTGTGAGCCTTCACACTGGCTGTGTCTCATTTCCCCAATGGTGGTGGGTGGTGTGTACAGACGGAAACGCCGCCATTGGACACCCCCGCACGTCCTTCCTTGGCAGCATGTGGTTGGGGGGCTGTGTGGCAGTGGGCCCCACCAGAAAGCTTGGGCCTTGGCAGCTCCCCCACCTCTGGGCACGCCGACACCGGTCTAGTTTCCGTGTGTCTTGTACCGGAGGCCATCCCACTGTGACTTGGCTCCGAAGGGGCATGGGTCAGCCCAGTTTGAGTCATGACTCCCTCTTGTGCCGATTTCCACCAAGTGGCCGAGGCTGCCTTTCCACCAGATGCGGAGCCGCAGGCAAGCCCAAGCCGGACTGAGTCGAGGGGTGCGCACCCACGCTCCCTCTAAGTAATGGAGTCTTTGTGAGCAAAAATTCTACTTTGTGAGCCACTGGCATGAAAGTTGTGAGCGAACGATTTCGCTACTACATAAATGAGTTTGCCGTCCTTCCTGAGCCAAGACAAAAATGTGTGAGCCGGAGGCTAAAGAACTGTGAACTATCTCACGCCAGCACAGCTTAGAGGGACCACTGGTGCTCACCCACCTCTTGTCCCCGCCCTCCCCGCTTCTGCTGATCAGGGTGAAGATTAAGTTCAGCTGGCTGGGGTTTGACCACAAGATCACCGGGAAGCAGTTCTACAAGCAAGTGACGACCGTGGGCCGCCGCCTCAGCGTGGGGGGCTCGATGAAGAACCACAAGGAGATGGCGGCCCAGCAGGACGGCAACAAGCTCTGCCTCTCGACGGTGGACCTGGAAGTGAAGTGCCAGCCGGACATGGCAGGTGTGGCTCAGCGTGGGGGTTGCCGGGAGCCCAGGGAGAAGGCCACAGCTAGGGTTGCCAACGTCCTGGAGGTTTTGGGGGTGGAGCCTGGGGAGGGACTTCAGCAGGGTATAGTGCCACAGAGACCAACTTCCAAGCAGCCATTTTCTCCAGGGGAAACGGGTCTCTGTTGCCTGGAGACCAGAGATCTCCAGCTGGCACCTGGAAGCTGGCAACTCTAGCTGCAGCTCTTCTGCCAGGTGCTGCCTAGTTTCCTTTTGTGGGGATGAAGAAGGGAAGGGGAGGTCATCTGGGGGGGGGCATCTGGTTGGCCACTCCTAGAGGTCAACCGCAAAACTTGAGGGACCTTTTGGTCTTGGTTCTTTGTGGCATAGCTGGTTGGGAGAGGCAGGAAGGCCCAGCTCAGGTATCCCGTATGCTGTGCACTCTTATGGGCCCGAGCAGGGGCAGATTGAGGCTCACTGGTGCCCTAAGCACTGACCAATCGTGGTGCCCCCCCCCTCCTTTCCACACTGACCCTAGGCCATTTTAGTTGTTGACCTGTCTGACCTGATATACAGTGCAGGTTGCAGCAATACAAAAATTTATTCATATGAGTGTTCCCTCTAAGCTGTGCAGTCTTGTGAGGAAAAACTCTACTCTGTGAGGTGCTGGCATTAAAGTCGTGAGCGAGCAGTTTGGCTACTGCATAAAGTAGTTTGCTCTGGAGCCGTCTTTCCTGAGCTAAGGCAAAAAATGTGTGAGCCGGAGGCTAAAAACCTGTGAGCTAGCTCACACTCACTCAGCTTAGAGGGAGCACTGATGATAACACAATATACTGTACAAACTAAGCTTTTCACCCTTTCCCCAACTTTGTGGTGCCCCCTTTGGCCCTGGTGCCCTAAGCATGGGCTTAGTCTGCTTAATGGTTAATCTGCCCCTGGGCCTGAGGCTAGCTGGGCTGGGTTCCGAGGAGAACATCAGGCCAGGATGGGGGCTACTGAAATCCTCCATGGGAAGCCCTGGTGATGCTCCACGCGCCCTGCGTAGGGGTGCTCCAGAGGATGATGCCAGTGCACTTGGCTAGTAGAAGCCGCCTCTGTGGGCAGGGGTCCCCAACTTTTTTGAGGCTGCCGGCACCTTTGGAATTTTGAGAGGGGGTGGTGCTTCCATGGGAGACAGCCGAACCCCAAAATAGCTGCCTCAGAAGAAGGAGCCAAATGGAAGACCTCCCTCCTCATGCCTTCTGAGAAGAAGGAAGTCTTGAAGGGGGACTGGAACCTTGTACTGACCTAGGAAAGGCCAGTTGCAGACCAGTCCTCCTCATCCTTTGGTGGAGAAATGCAGGGAGCCAGTGACAAGCCCTGCCTTACAGTGGCCCCGCCCACTTTTGAAAAGCTCAGTGGGCACCATGGGAAGAAGCGGTGGGCTCCATGGTTCCCGGGGGGGGGGGGACAGACCCACATCGGGGG